AGGTCTTCTACCCAGGTGTCTCACCTCTCATGTGAGTATCCTAACCACCAGGCTGTGGTGTGTTTTAGAATGTGTCCCTCATTCTCTCCTGCTCCACTTTGTGTGAAATACTTAAATATTAGTTCTGTTCGAGGGAGAGTGTTACTCATAGGCCAGTTGTTAGTGTGCTTGCCTGTCAGTTGTAAGTGCTGGAATCAAAACACTGCTCTGAATTGAGTAGAATAGGGATTTGAATCCAGATCTCCAACATTGAAAGTGAGAGTTTAAGCTACTAGACAATTGTGCATAAGGCATGTCACCAGTACCACTTCCTGCGTCCTTTGCGAGGGTTAGGCCTGCTGAGATGAGAGAGACAGCAGAGTACCTTGCTTGTGAAACCCACTGGACTTAGGTGTGAACTAAGGCCTTAGTAGTTTGGTGGCATCTGGACTTACACGGCATTGCTCATGCCCACTTATGGAGATTTAGTTATCTGGGGATTTTATACACCTGCAGAGTTAGGCTTCAACTGAGCGGGAATTTTATGAATGTCTTTGGTGCCAAAAGTGCAAGTTAGGTGTTTCAGTCACTTTTATTAATCGGGCTGTAGGTACTCTAGTAATAGATACTGTTCTTACTTCTTCAACGAACACACACACAAACTGTGAAACTAAGAGCTCAGTCCTTTTGTCCCTGGGTTAGGTTCAGTTACATGTGCCTTTTTGTATTTGAATGCTCTTCCATGATTTAGACTATCCCTGTCAGTTATATACAGGGAAAGTCCAAAGATTGGGCCAAAGGGTTTGTAACATGATGTTAATCTGTGGCAGCTCCAAATATTACTAATATTAAGTAAAGTATCTGTGTGTGAAGGTGGAAGGGGTTGGCATGTCCTCTTACCCCTCCTACAATATAAAAAGTGGTTCCCAGCTATTTGTGCTTTTTGTGCGCATTTGCAAACATTTACGCCATTGTCTGTATTACATGTTTCTTGTTTGATCTGGGGCCATTCGACTCTTAGTCACCAGAGGAGATTGTATATATTTTAGAGAAGTGTGGTTCCTCTTTTGTTCCCATCACCCACATCCAATCCGTAGGATAGCTAATAGAAATGATGAGACTTTGTTTCTCCTTGTCTGTCCAAATCCCATTTTAATTCTTGCAAGTTTAATATGGCTTATGAGTGGAGGAAGGTGTAAATGGAGATTCAGGCATGGAATTACAGAACATAATCTGCTCCTCTGTTTCTCTTCTTTTTCCAACACCCCCACAATTAAACTATTAATTATATGTGACTATGCTTGGCAATATTTTTGTTCCCTTTGCAGGCTATTCTAAAAGCTGGGAGGTATGCAGCCAATTAGGGCAATCGGAAGGCTACCAAGACTTGGGTGCTCGGCGGGAGCTCACTGCCTTTGCTCTGACACATTGCCCTCCAAGTTCCATAGAGTCACTGCTGGCAGCAAGCAGTTCTTTGCAGACTCAGGTAAGATGCATTTCTGTAAAAATTTCCTAATGTAAACTGAATAGTTGTTTTCTGAAACAGGAAGTAACTGTTTTGTGTGTTTCCCCTAAGAGCCTGACAATTTGTTTTATCTATTTTTCTGTATTTTTTTACCTTCCCTTCTGAATAGTTAAATATTGTTTTATAATATGTTTTCTGTCATCAGTAAGCTTGCTGTTTCTTTTCTGTTATATTAGTACTACTGGATAGGTGCTAAAGCCTCAGAGGGTTTCTAAAATGAAGTACAGTCTGTCATATTGTAGACAGACCATTCTGTTCCAGCTCTGTAATACTTACTGTCCAATTAACCATTTGATTGGGTTGTACAATGTGTATGTAATTTTGCTTTGAATTCTTGAGTGTCTATAAGGATTTTGTACATTAGACACAATGTTATTTGTACACAATCTATTTATGCGTCCACTGCCTGTCCCAAGTTTTCTGCATGTTCTGCCAAACGGAGAGTGAAATCCTGGCTCGGTTGAAATAAATGACACAATTTCCATCGACTTCAGTGAGACCACGATTTCACCTATAAATATGTGTGTGTGTGTCTGTCCGTCTCTCCCTCTGTGAGTTAGGGAAGTTAGTGTAAAGTCACTTAAACCATTAACCAATAAGCCCAGTCTTACCGGTTAATCCAAATGACTACATACACACCCACACCCCTTGCTGCATCTGTATCAGAGGCAGCAGTGTGGGATGGCCAGAGGGTTCCCTGGAAATGGAGCTGTCAGTGCACTGGCTACTGGCCCTGTCCCTGATAAAAATTGTTGCGGTTGCACGATTACTGAAATAAACGTTAAATAAACGTTTGTTCAAGAACTCCTCCTAAATGGTAAGAACTAGGACCTCCACATTTGATATGCAACTTCCTCTTATCATAACTTAAAGAAAGGTAAGGGTTTGTCTGTGCCAGGACAATGGGCTGTACCTGGAATTTGATTGTTTCTCATAAAATGGAAAGGGAGGAGTCTGGTAGGAAAGGATTGGGATCAGGACAGATATAACCCCACTGGGCCATCATGGGCTGGGGTGGAGAAAGGGACAGCTACGTACTATATATTTCAGAGTGATAGAGTGTGTGTGTGTGTGTGTGTGTCCGTCCCCCAACTGGGAAAACTGTACCCCTCCATCCACTGTGCCCACTTCAGCTGCAGCACCATGGTGCTTCTCACTTGGCTCCAAGCTGCTGCAGTGAGAGAATGCTGGAGTTGTCTTCTCTCTCCAGAGCAGCCTGTATATTGAACCCCTCATTCCCAGCGCCACCCCAGAACAATGATTTAAACGAAGGGAAAACAAAACTTACTTGAATTAAGAACCTGAGCAATGCCAGGTAAATCATCTAGTTATTATTAATGAGGATTTAGGGCCCAGTCATGCTATTAGCTCTCCATAGAATCAGGGCCCTAAAAAGCAAATTCCTTATGCATATATAATTTGTAATAATCAGATTTCTCATTATATGTACTTGAGAAGGCTACTAATATATGTATTTGAGAAGATGAGAATAAATGCTATCATGTAAGACAAAAAACTACATTTCCATTGTGTTTGACCCTGTTTTTGCCCATGTACTCAGTTTTTCTAAATTGCTTTGCATAGGGTGCATTAAGGGAAATTGAATTTGTGCTCTGAAATGTCACTCTGTAAAAGTTACGTTGTATGAGTTTATTCTTCTTTGAGTGATTGCTCACGTCCATTCCATGTAGGTATGTGCGCACTGCATGCACACATCATTGGAAGATTTTCCTTTTACAGTATCTGTTGGGTTAGCAGGAAAGGCCCCTGAAGTAGCACCAGTATATTGGCTGAAATTTACCCCTGCTGGCCCTCTACCCACTCACTTCCTTCTTACCAGTGACTGTCATCGTAACACATTATGCTCTTGCTCTGCAAGCTCCGCTTAGCAGTTCTAACCTGTTTTTGTATTTTTAGTGAGTGTGTTTTTCTAGTTGTTACTCTTATCTTGTTGTAAATCGTTAAGTTACTTCGGTGCTGGGCTCACTTCGTGTCCCCAGTGTGTGATTGGGCATGCTCATGCCCCAAGGCTTCAAGCCCTGCATGAAGTGCCAGAAGCCTGTGCCCTATGGTGACCCCCCACAAAGCCTTCTTCAAGTGCCTTGGAGAAGCCCATCTGTCCAAGTCGTCTAAGATCTGCAGGGGCTTCAAGCTGCATACCAAGCGGGAAAAAGTCGCATTTGAAGATCATTCTCGGGGAGGCAGCTCTTCATCTAGCACCGGCATCAGATCCAGCACCAGTCACCCAGAGCGCACCGGTTTCGGTGCACGAGGCACTTAGCCACTCACGAGCTGCTACGAGAAAAACTTTCGTTCTCATGTTGAGGAGTTCATGTCAATGATGTGCGGACCCAAAATCTGTGGATATGGAAGGAACTCTCCCTGCTTATCAATGTCAGGGAGTTGCTGTCTGTCTGTCTTGCGTGTCAAGTTTTTCTCCCCGACTCAGGGGCAGGATGCGTCTCATCCTGTTCGACAACACAATTGTGTTTTCCTATATAAACAAGCAGGTTGGGGCTCATTCCCCTCCTCTGTGCTGGGAAGCCCTGTGGATCTGGGAGCTGTGTGTTGGGGTGGGTAATCACCCAATTGCCTCCTACCTTCCTGGGACTCAGAACACTCTGATGGACCAGCTGAGCAGGTCCTTTACCAGCCACAAGTGGTTTTTTGAGAGGCGGGATATGTGGCCCTCCAAGTCTTCTATATGTGGAAGTTTCCCCTCCTGAACCTGTTTGTGATCCATCAGTACAGGAAGGGACTGGGTCGCCAGTCCCTGGGAGATGAACTCCTTATCCTCTGGTCTGCTTTCTGCATTCCCCTGTTCCTGCTGGTATGCAAGGTGCTCCTGAGGGTCAGGAGTTCAGGGCTTCCCTCATTCTCATATTGCCAGGGTGGCCCATATAGTGCTAGCTCACGTCCCTGCTGAGCCTCTCCTGCAAGAGACCAATACCTTCCCACTGTATCCAGATGTCATAATGCAGGACTATGGCAGGGTTTTTACACATAACGGCCTGGAAGCTCCATTACTGATAGCAGCAGAGTTGCAGTGCTTGGAGTGGGTGCAGGAGGTCCTGAGTAAGAAGCTGTTTACTAGGTCAACCTACGTGGCTAAATTTAAGTGTTTCTATATCTGGGCTACCCAGAAGGGAATTTCTATGGATTCTCAGGTCTTGCTGGTCCTGGATTATTTCCTGGATATCAGGGTCCAAGGGCTATCCTTCTTGTCAATTAGGGTATACCTAGCAGCTATTGCCACTTTTCACCTGGGCTCCCAGGGAAAGAAGCTCTTTGCGGACTCCATGGTCCATTGATTTCTGAAGGGGTTGGACAGGCTTTACCTGCATGTCCGACAACCTGTTCCTCAGTGGGACCTTAACCTGGTTATGACCAGTCTCACCCCCCTTTTCCTTTAAGCCTCTGGCACCATGTTTGCTGCTCCAGTTCTGAAACGTGTTGTTCTTAGTGGCTATCTCATCGGCCAGGCGTGTGTCAGAGTTAAGGGCCCTTACCTCTGACCCCCCCTTTACACAGTCTTCTTTGAGGACAAAGTTTAGGCTATGCCCTCACCCCACTTCCCTGCCGAAGGCGGTGTCTCAGTTTCATGTCTCTCAAGAGTTTTTTCTCCCAGTTTTTTACCTCAAACCGCATGCCTCTGGTAAAGAACAGGCTTTACATACTCTAGATGTTAGGAGACAACTGGCCTTTTATTTAGACAGAACAAAGCCCTTTCACAGGTCCCCACAGTTTGTGGCAATTCTGGAGAGGCTCAAGGACCAGCTGATCTCTGCTCAGAGGATTTCTTCATGAATATCCTGCATCAAAGAGTGTTATGATATGGCTGGGGTTCCAGCCCCACCTCTCTCAGTCCACTCCACTGTGGCACAGGCCTCCACTACAGCTTTTGTGGCTCAGGTCCCTATTCTGGATATCTGTAGGCCTGCCATGTGGTCTTCAATCCACACCTTTACCAACCACTTCACGCTGGCTCACCAGACTACAGAGGATGTTAGGTCTGTTAGGTCTTGGATGTTAGGTCTTGGTAGGTCTGTTATCCACTTAGTAGAAGATCAGAACTCTGACCCCACCACCTGAGGTTTCTACTTTGGAGTCACCTACATGGAATGGACATGAGCAATCACTTGAAGAAAAAACGGTTACTTACTTCTCATAACTGTTGTTTTTTGAGATGTGTTGCTCATGTCCATTCTAAATCCCACCATGCTTCTCTTCTTCGGAGTAGTCCAGTAAGATGGAACTGAGGGGGTTGAGAGCCATCAGGGGTATATAATAGCCGATATAGAGCGCTACTCCAGGGGGCTCCCCTGCTGGCCCAATGGATACAGCTAAGGGAAAAACTTCCAATGATGCATGCATGTGCACCTAGATGGAATGGACATGAGCAACACATCTCGAAGAACAACAGTTACGAGAGGTAAGTAACTGTTTTTTTCATTTCTCCCCATTCTATACTGCCTCGTAGTCAGCAGAGCAGCTCAAACTCGAGCCCCCATATTCTAAAACCAGAGGGAAAGCCAGCAGGACATTGTCTGTGAGGACTGGAACTTGTTTCCCTTTGGGGATTGAACCAATCAAATTGGTAACCAGGAACAGTGCAAAAATAGGTGTTGGATAGGGCTTTTGGAGTGTGCTGTGCTTCCCAAAATGATGAAGAAATGGAAAAGAGATTTTTTTGTAGGTGGCTTACTGGCTGGCAGAGTTCCTATTTGAATGATCATTTCCATGTAGCAGACTATTTTTTTTAATTATTAATTGCTCTGTGGTGCATAGAACCTCACAAGTGTCATTTTATTATAGTAATCTAAATTAATTAAACACAGTAATTTATTAATAGTAATGAATAATGAGCTCCACAGTTCCACTCAGAATTGTGATGTTGCAGTACAAACACACAGGATAGTGTAGTTTTTGCTCTTAAGAGCTAAGAATTATAGAACAACATGTACAGTACTGAGGGAAAGTGGTTTTGTGTAGACACTTATATAAATTGGTTGAACCGTGATTCTCCTGCAAGTTTTACCATCTGACGTCCTTGCTTTCTTATGACACTAGGTAGCTTGTATGATTGTGCATTATTGCATGATAGCAGAAATAAGGTGTACCCATTCTTTTCAGATTCTGTATCAAGCAGTGAATTACCAGTTACGTCCCTCAGAAGGGGGAGAAAATACAAATGTCTCAGGAACTTCTTCGCTGATCACTAAGGAGACTCCTCAGGTAAGTTTTAAAGCAAGACTGTAAAATGGCCACCATTACATTGTATGATTGTGCATTATTGCATGATAGCAGAAATAAGGTGTACCCATTCTTTTCAGATTCTGTATCAAGCAGTGAATTACCAGTTACGTCCCTCAGAAGGGGGAGAAAATACAAATGTCTCAGGAACTTCTTCGCTGATCACTAAGGAGACTCCTCAGGTAAGTTTTAAAGCAAGACTGTAAAATGGCCACCATTACATTCTTTTTTATTCTGTATATAAGGAGAAACAGATTTCAAAGATTTCAACTACAGGTTGGACCTTCCTTGGCCAGCACCCCGGGGACCTGCCTAGTCTTGGATGAGGGATTTTACTGGGCCAGGGTAGGTCATTTATGGACCCCTACCCTCTGGCCCACTTGACCCGGCTCCCTGGCCTCTCGGCCAGCTCCCCACCTCCTACTGACCCTGCTGGGCAGCCACCACTGCCATGGCTCCCAGCCCCACCAGGCAACCACACGCCATGGCCCAGCAACCCACTGGACAGCCCTGCTGCCATACGCTGGGTGGCCCGCAGGAGTCCTTTGTGCTGGCACTGCACTGGGATCCTCCGGTCTTGCAACATCCGTGCTGGACCATAGATGTTGCTAGACCAGAGAATTCCAGTTAAAAGAGTTTCAACCTGTAGTACAGGATAGCAAACTTGAAGTATTTCCCTGCTTTATATTTTGTGCTTAGCACTAGCAAATAACCTAAGGAAATAAACAAATAGATAAAATATTAATAAGTTTTCTTTGTAATATACACTCCAAATGTAGTCTGGGGCATCTTTGTCCACTGGGGTCTCAGCATTGTAAACAAAATAATTGAGAACATAAATCAATACAAAGTCAGGAAAAGTGGAAAATAAGACAAAAAACCTAACATAAAATACAAAAATAACTATTAATGTTGATGTTAGCCTTATAGTATGGCACAGAACAGCACTGAAAAATAAATTATATAACATATTTGACTTTATCTTTTTATCTATCTGCATATTATTCCCTTTTTTTCTTTCCCAAATGCTAATTGCTTACACATTTTATATTTACATACTTTTACAGGTTTGTTTTTTTGAGGCTTAAGAAACCATTATTTAGTCTGATTTCATGCTTACTTCTGCCTATAGAATTCAATCAAGCCTTGCATATACTAACCCCATAACATCTACATGTTGAGTCACTCTAGTCCAGTACACTCTGGTCTGGCAAAATCCATGGTCCATCATGATTTGAATTAGCCAGATGTCCACTTACAATGAGTGTGGCCAAGTTTCCTATAACATTTGTTTACAACTACCGGTCCTGGCTTTCAGTATTCAGTACTGTTATTTATCTCTGCTTTATTCCTAGATGCTTCAGGGGATAGCCAAGTTAGTCTGTTACAGAAAAAAACAACAAATGGTCTGGTAGCACTTTATAGGCTAACAAAACCATCTACGTGTTTTGTTAGTCTATAAAGTTCTACCAGACCATTTGTTGTGTTTATCCCTAGATGTCCTCTAAGAGTCCAGTAAGCAGTGGAAGTGTTGGTAATGCTATAGACAGTTTCAACCCCCTGTGATTCGGCAAATTCTTTGGTTTGGTACTGGTCAGGTTCTGAGAATGCTGGACTAGAGAGGTTCAACCTGTAGTTATTATATATATTCTTCAGAAACACTCTATCTTAATAAAAGCGATGAGGAGTCCTGTGGCACCTTATAGACTAACAGATTTATTGGAATATAAGCTTTCGTGGGGAAAGACCCACTTCATCACATGCATGTAGTGGAAATTTCCAGAGGCAGGTATAAATATACAAGCTTAAGAAAAGAGTTCCAATCAAAATTAAGGCTGGAGAGAACGAGGTCAGTTCAGTCAGGGAGGATGAGGCCCACTTCTGGCATCTGATGTGGAGGTGTGAACACCAAGAGAAGAGAAACTGCTTTTGTAGTTGGACAGCCATTCACAGTCTTTGTTTAATCCTAAATTGATGGTGTCAAATTGCAGATGAACTATAGCTCAGCAATTTCTCTTTGAAGTCTGTTCTTGAAGTTTTTTTGCTGCTGGATGGCTACCTTTAAATCTGCTACTGTGTGTCCAGGGAGATGGAAGTGTTCTCCTACAAGTTTCTGTATATTACCATTCCTGATATCTGATTTGTGTCCGTTTATTCTTTTACGTAGGAACTGTCCAGTTTGACCGATGTATATAGCAGAGGGGCATTGCTGGAACATGATGGAGTATATTACATTAGTAGATGTGCAGGTGAATGAACCCGTGATGGTGTGGCTGATCTGGTTCGGTCCTGTGATGGTGTTGCTGATATAGATATGTGGGCAGTGTTGGCACTGAGGTTTGTTGCATGGATTGGTTCCTGAGTTAGTTACTGTGGTGCAGTGTATAGTTGCTGGTGAGAATTTGCTTCGGGTTGACGGGTTGTCTGTGGGCGAGGACTGGTCTGCCTCCCAAGGCCTGTGAAAGTGAGGGATCATTGTCCAGGATGGGTTGTAGATCACTGATGATGTTCGAGAGGTTTTAGATGAGGACTGTAGGTGATGGCCAGTGGTGTTCTGTTGGTTTCTTTGTTGGGCTTGTCTTGTAGTAGGAGGCTTCTGGGTACACGTCTGGCCCTGTTGATCTGTTTCCTCACTTCCTCAGGCAGGTATCGTAGTTTTAAGAATGCTTGGTGAAGACCTTGTAGGCATTTGTCTCAGTCAGAGGGGTTGAAGCAAATGCGGTTGTATCTTGGTACTTGGCTATAGAGAATGGATCGTGTGGTGTGTCTAGGATGGAGGTTGGAGGCATGAAGGTAGGCATAGCGGTCTGTAGGTTTTTGGAATAGAGTGGTTCTTCTTCGAGCAGTGTCCTGTGGGTGCTCCACTATATGTGTCGGGCTTGTCCCGGCGCCGCAGATCGGAGAATTTTCGTAGCCGTAGTCCGCCAGACTGCGCATGCGCGAAGCGCGGCTCGTGCTCTTCCGCGCCGTTTGTGTTCGCGTGGTCCGGTTCCCGCCAGTTCCTCCTGACCATCCTCGGCTGCGGACGGAATATTGTTTTCTCCTCAGACTCTGTCAGGCTGAGAGAGAGAGAGAACCTTTAGGATTTACTTAGATTACTTCATAGTTAGTTTTTTCCAGGTATTTAGTGACATTAGTATTAGTAGTAGCCGTTAGTTTTTACAAAAAACAAAAAAAATTATTTCTTCAGAAGTTACCTGTAAATAGTTTCATACTGTAGATAGTTTCTTCTTTACTCCTGTCAGAAGAAGACAGAGGTTACCATGCCGGGTTCTCCAGGGTTTAAAAAGTGCAGCTCATGCCGCGAGGCAATGCCTGCCTCCGATGGTCACGCTCTCTGCATCCGCTGTTTAGGTGAGGGGCACATACCCCAGAAGTGCCCTCACTGCTCCAAACTTACTGCGAGAGCGAGGAAGGACAGGGACAGGAGGCTCAAAATGCTCCTCTTTGACAGGGCATTACAGCCACAAGAGGGAGCGAATCCCGGATCCCTCCCTACTCCCTCAGCTGAGCCGTCTCCAAAGAAGGCG